CAACTTGTCTGTTCCCCTTCCCCCAATTCCCCAGCACTGTTCCCATCCCCCCAATTCCCCAATAAAAATCTTTAAAAAAAAAAAAAGAAAGAAATAAGAAAAATGAGATATGTAATAAATACTCTGGTGAAAAGGGATAACAGTTATGTGACTGGACAATTAGCAGCCCACTCTAAAGGTGAGGGGCCAGGCCAAAGCACGTCCAATTGCTCAATTGTTTTATCAGCACAGTACTTCATCCATTAATTCAAAACCACTAAAAGAGTTTTCACCCACATTAAGAAGGGAGGGAGGATTAAAAAAAAAGGGAGGAGGGGGAGGGGAGTAGGAGTGGACTAGAATGAAGGGAAGGTGGTCCAGACCAATTTCAACACTTGTAGATCAACTAAAAAAACTAAAAGAATTATTCTTTGTAAGGAAGGACCCTTCTAGATTCCCAAAATTGAGTCTAAGCAGTCATTGTTGAGCCCCATGGGTAGTATGTACCTACGTCGTATTCCCTCCTTACTCTTTGAACAGTTTACATATACTTCAGTACTTTTACCTAGATGCCACGCTGACTTGGTTAGCTCACCACTTGAAGCAGGCTTAAATGAATTCCATCATAACTCCCGCGGACACTTGTCTACCCTGGGTGAAGTGCATACACTTACCCATACTCATCTTGATTGGCAGGTTTTCTCTGCTTGCTGCTTCCACTAGATGTCTCCGGACTTCCATCACTGCCTCTTTGTGCTTGGTGTTCAGTAAGGCCTCCCACAGAGCTTTGGCTGCGGTGTCACTGCAATAAAATCACAAAGAGCTTTAGAATAAATTTCTACTGGATAATGGGAAGGGTTGAAAGCAAAATAACTTCTTAATTATCTTTTTTGAGCACTAATGTAGTTTTTCCTACTGATACACTCTAAGCGTAGGATTAAATAAAGACTATCTAATCCACTTTAATCAGCACAAAATATTGAGAAATTAAGGAGACAATAAAATCAAGCCAAAAACACACACACAAAAAGGAATAAAGAGAAGTGTGGGAAAACTACATGATACTTTTTTCAGATTTTGCATTTAAAAGTATTTTAGAGTCTAGTTCAACATTTCTACAGTAACATAAATGTTACGTAAGTCAAAATTAAATACATGTCTAAAATGATTTATCAGTAATTATAAGCATATCAATTTGAGATAATATACTTGTCTGGGAAACACAAAGCAATTAGCAATGAGAATTCCTGTTCAAAAATCACTCAATAGAATTCCTAATGAGATTTTCTAATTGAAAGATAATCAAGAATTAGGCTAAGTAACCAGGGCCTTAAGTATCCCACTTTGGGCCTTAGGTTGGAAGGATGGCACTTACTGCAGCATTCACAATTAACTGTTGATGACAGCATGAAGCCCTGTATTATGCAGGGTCTCATCTGAGCTCACTTCTTCAGCTGCCCTCTGTCTCACCCAACAGCCCATGTCCAAATTATCAATGTGTACAGTGTTCTTTCTGGAAGACCTCTACATGTAGCCAAGTACAGACATCTGTAGTAACGTTTTAAAAACTGAATATAAAGAAACAAAGTTGACTTCTGTCTCTTTCCAAGGACTTTTTCCTCCACTTAAAGCTCCACTAACATCTCTTAGTATCCAGTTAGCAATATTTTGAAAATGAATGCATGTTTAAAGTTCAGTTTTAAAAGTTATATCTAATAAGATACTAATTTAGTTTGAAAGTTATACCTAATAAAGTACATCTTTCAAGTTTGAATTTGATTTGGAATAATGGAATGATGTATTTTAGCACTGAGTTTAATGTCTAGCACATACTAATCTTTTGTTAAATATTAGTTGTTTTTATTATCATCTATTTTTTCCTCAGCGAACTAATATCACTGCTCAACATATTCCACTTGTTTTGATCTGATCAAAACTGTCATCATTATAACTCTACATCTAATATTCTAAGTTTAATTTAAATAAGCAGGTAAACTACATGCCAAGCCCTATTCTCAGTGGTTGGGATATAGATAAACACAAGGCATAAGTTTTTAATGATTTATAGTGTGTAAGAAGAGGTAGATTTATAAGCAAAGAAATTATCAAAAATAAGTGTGATAAGAGGCATGATCGATGATCGCACATGTTTCTCTGGTAGCACAGAGGAAGGGCTCTAATCCCGGCTGGGAGGGCAAGGTCTCAGAGAATGATTTCTACTGGAAATATAAGCAAGTACACAGACACAAAAACTCCATAAGCAGCCAAGGAAAGAAGTTATAACCCAATCTGCAAAGGAGAATGGTAAAGAAAGTCTTCAAAGAAGATAGAAAATCTTCATCACAAAACAAGACGAAGAAGGACGTTTCAGAATTTGCAAAATCCTAGGTATGAGACACTAAGCAGTACTGTTCTGCTCCATGTTAAGGCGCTGGGGGAGGGACAGTAGAATTAAGGGCAAAAGAGAAGGTGGGAGCTGCCCTACGAGGATCCTACATTCCTTGCAAAGGCTTGCTGACTTCAGCCCATAGGTGACAGGTTGCCAAGGAGAGTGGGTTTGATTCCACATTTTGAGAAGAGTAACATAGCTTAGCAGTTATGAACACAGTCTTTTTCCTCATTCAAAACTAGGTCTATTGGGCCGGCCGAGTGGCGCAATGGTTAAGAACTGGCTTGGGACACCAGAGGGCCCCGGTTCGGATCCCACATATGAGGGCCAGTGACACTGCCCTCTACAGCTAAGATGCTGAACAACAGCTCAACCTGGAGCTGGGCTGCTGTGAGTCGCCAGTGACAGCGTAGGCTGCAGCCCCTGTGGCAGTGGGTTGCCATGGGCTACCGTATGTAGCCAGCAGCCAGCGTGAGCGGCCAGAAGCTGCAGTAAGCGGGCATCCAGAAGCCGGCGACTGATCTGCCTCTCCCGGGAAGAGCGCAATGATGGTGCCAACTTGGGCCAGTGAAGCAACGTCCTCCACAACTAGACTGAAGAACAAAAAGACAGCAACTTGTCTGTTCCCCTTTCCCAATTCCCCAGCGCTGTTCCCATCCCCCCAATTCCCCAATTAAAAAATCTTAAAAAACAAACAAACAAAAAAAAAAAACTAGGTCTATTTCCTATGGGGTTTTGGGAAAGTTACTTAATTTCTCCAGAGCTCTGTTGACAATGGAGAACCACTAAAGAATTTTGAGCAGGGGAGTTATATTCCCAGTTTCCCAAATTTATAGTCCACAACTGTTCCCTACTTTTTCCCCCCCAAAGCACCTCACCCCAAACCACAGGGATTTCTCACATACCCTCAACTCTGTATGCAGAGCCTCTAGAGTAGAACTATACTGCCCTCCTCTTTTCCATGAGAATAATATGGTGTCTCCAAGATCCCGGGAGATTAGGTAATGCTGTGGTTGCCCCATCAGATTAGTGTGGTGGTAAAACGTGGGCTCTAGGGTCAGATAAATCTAGGTTCAAACTCTGACCATCCACTCCTCATCCCGAGCAGGTCCGTGGCCTCTTTGGTCTTCCTCAGGCCCTCCAAGCACAGGGACGTCTTCTCCTCCTTTGCCAGTAAATGCTCTTCCTACAAATATTCCTCCCTCTCTCCAGGTGTCTACTGAAACGTCACCTTGTCACAGAGGTCCTCCTTCTTATCCTGTGTTTAAAGAGCGGTGACAGCCCATCCCAGCACCATAACCTAGCACCCCCTACAGGGCTTTACTGCTCTACATAATCCTTATTCCTATCTGACTCATATGTTCCCATGTTTATATATGTTTGTTGTCTATCGCACTCATACACAGTAAGGTCCTTCTATAAAAACAGGACTTTGTTTTATGCATTGGTAATTTCCTACTACCTAGAACAGTGCCAGGCCTGTGGTAGGTATACTCAATAAATACTGAATGAACGAATGATGTTTGCTAGTTATGTAACTTTGTGCACATACATAACTAAGGCTTTTTTACCCTCTGTTTTTTCATCTGTGAGCTGGAGGTAATAATAGTGACCACCTCACAGGGTGTTGTGAGAGTTAAATAAGAAAATGCACATAGAGCACTTCCCGATTCATAATGAATGTAAGTTGTGTGGTTGTTACTACCATGGCTATTGCAATGAATGATATTGCCATATAATTCACTGTGTTCAAGGGTTTGTAATATATTAGATGGATTCACTTAATTATATTGAATATTTTTTTCATATAATATTGATTTGTTCACATATACTTAAGTCACTTGGGGCTTGTACTCTCTGGTTCTTTCCTAGTAAAACATTTTAGAAGAAATACATTGTCTGTAACATTGATGCCAAGTCAGGTCATGTTTCCTGGAAATTTGTTTTGATATAAACAATTTGATTGTCTAGGTATATGTGACAGTTCCTAATACCTACTTCCTGTCTGAAACAGTTTCCTAAACACACTATACTGACTCCCACGTCACACGTGGTCATTTTAAGATTACCAAGTTAACACGCATGAACTAATTCTGGTTCTCTGAAGCCTGGCACTGACAAAGTCACAATCATCCTCACTGGCAGCTCTGCTGTGTCCTGCACCCCAGTCTTCACCAAGTCGCTCTGTCACTGCTGTGTGGTGGTTTACGCACATATTCCTATGTTGGCATCTGAGTTGAGTGTGGGAATTAACCACTGCCTTTCTCTAATATGCTCAGAGAAGTTGATCCAATACACATTTCATACTATTGAAGTTTCACATGAAATCAATTCCTGATGTTGAATTTTATAAGTCAAGAAAAGTTTACTGAAATCCACACTATAATCATGATCGTGTATTTTATGTAATTCTGTATCCTCTCCAACTGTACAAACTCTCTATTTTCCCGATGAGGGGATAAGCACACAGAGGGCCAGTATAGGAGACTAATGGTAGGCAGCACTGTAGTCTAATAGCAGCATGGGTTCTGGAACCAAACAACACGGGGTGTGGTTCTGCCACTTACTAGTCCTCTCTCCCTAGCAGAGTTATTTGACCTCTCTGTACACGCTTCCTCCTCTGTTAATCAGGGATGGTAATAGTGCATATTCAGTGGGTTGATAGAACTGAAAATGCTAATATATCTAAAGCCCCTAGAAGAATTCCTGGCACATATTACATGCTCAATAAATACAGCACTATCATCAGCAGTAGTAGTAATACTACATTAAAAAAATAAAATAAAATAAAATAAATGGAGGGCCCGCCGAGTGGCGCGTTGGTTAAGAACTGGCTTCGGATGCCAGAGAGCCCCGGTTCAGATCCCACATATGAGGGCCAGTGACACTGCCCTCTACAGCTAAGATAGTGAACGGCAGCCTGGGCTGCCATGGGTCCCCGGCGACGGCGTAGGCTGCAGTCCCCTGCTGCAGTGGGCTGTCATAAGCTACAGTGTGTAGCCAGCAGCCAGCGTGAGTGGCCAGCAGCCTCCGTGAGCGCCCGTCCAGAAGCTGGCGACTGAGCTGCCTCGCCAGGGAAGAGCGCAATGATGGTGCCAGCTTGGGCCAGTGAAGCAACATCCTCCACAACTAGACTGAAGAACAAAACAACAGCAACTTCTCTGCTCCCCTCCCCCAATTCCCTAATAAAATCTTTAAAAAAAAAAAAAAAGAGAGAGAGAGATCAGACCTTACTTTAAAAAAAAAAATTGAAAGTTCAGCATTTTTTCATAAGCTATAGGAGGAAGTCTATTTTAGAAGTACATTAGTCTTTTTCACCTACTTGCATATATGTATGGATAACCATTGCCAGTAGTTTCATTTTCTAACATGAAAAGGTCAACAACACATAATGCAGAATTTATAATGATACC